ATCTTCAAATTATGTTTACCTTCTTTTCCATAATTTTCCTTTCCAACCATCATTAATCCTTTAGTTATCCGAGCTTTAAACGCTAAAAGAGATATATATTTATCATCTTTCTGTTTGATGTGGCGTCTATAGAGTAACCACGAATTCACCACACAGGAATCTAATAAATGAAAGAAAATTCGCATGTAAAAGCGCTTCCATTTTATGTCAATCCACTCCGCCCATACCAGCATTATAATCTTGAATTATAGCCTTAATTTCGACATTAATAAAAGATTTTTCAGATACCGACCATCTTTTCGTTCGTGATGTGGGATTTATACCCATAAATGATGATATCGTGATAACCGATTTTCAAACCATTTGCAAATTATAATATTATTATTAGAATCCACTTTATAATCAAGGGACCCTCTTCCTTTATTCTTTAAGATTTTATCATCAACCAGATGGCATCCTAATAATCGATTAGATTTAATGGTCCCCGACATGATAAAGCCATTATCTTTGAGCGCAACTGCTAAATTATATGAAGAAAAAAGGTTATCCATGTAAATTTTATGATTTTTATGTGGGGGAACAGTTTCTAATAGTCGTATAACAATATCTCCACTAATTCCCATCAAAGTTTTTTATATTTGTGCATTTCCCTAAATATATTTCGAAATCATATAGCATTCCAGATGATCCACATAAAGCGAAAATTTTAATTCCCCATTTATGCGGTTTTGAGCTAATATATTATTTAAATTCACATCGCCCTTTGAAGGGGGCTATCATTTCATCAATTGATAATTTTTCCTCTAATTGAATCTTTCTCATGTTCATTTTTAATGCACTAATAAATGGTATTAGTTTGAAAAGTTTATCGTAATTAGGCTGGCCCCTAAGGATTATATTATTATCATTAATATGAAATTATTTTCTCAATTCCAAGAATCTGTTTCTTGTCATGCATTGAGAAATTTGAGGAATCACCGTCTCTATAGCCCAATATTGCCTTATTGATGGCAATTTAACAATGCCCGTATAAAGGTGAATTCCGAGAAATTTTTCAATTTCACTACCATTTGTTTTTGTTGATTTGCCAGATAATTGAATAGAATAAATATTCGTTTGCTCTACTAAATTGTTAATAATATCCGTCTATAAATTTTTTAAAATATTTGTAAGGCGAAATTTCCTTATCAGGTGGAGGCAAAAATTCTTGTTTAAATTCTGTATTATATTTATATAAATCCTTATTTCGCCATAGGGTTTTCCAATTACTTGGGATAATATCATTATCATAATTTTCCAGTTCCAACCCAATATCTGGTAAAATATCATAGGTCATATTTAGATCAACTACTGTGGCATTTTCAAAGTCATCATCCTTCTCAATATCTACATCAGATATATCTCCCTCTGGTATAATACATGTTGAGGTCATCTAAAAATTATTTATAAAATTTTTAAAAAAATATAAAATAAAATTTTCACTTTCTTAACTTTTTGCAAATATTATAGTGGCTTGCTAAATGGAAAATAGCCTATATTCAATTCTTACTATATCATATTTTCAATATTAATTTTAAAAAATTTATGGAAAAAATTACATAAGAAAATCCCAATGTTACCAATTTGGATTTTCTTTAAAAAATCATATAAAAAATAGTTATTGTTAATTTTTTTTTACTAAACATGAAATACTAGTAATAATCTATCATAAAAATATTATTTACCTTTGATTTATATATATTTATATAGAATGGTAATCGATGTAAAAGTGTAAAAATTTTGGCGCCTAAAATACCTAACTTTGAACTTATATTCTGATATAATAAAATAATGATTTTGACAGGTTAATGATAAAATATGAAAGAATAAATATTGTTTTGTAAATTAATGTGTCTAAATAGCAACTATTCGTTTTTTAAATATAAAAATTAATTGATTAAAAATTTTGATGACAAATGATCTCGCTGGTCGCGAAAGGGTTAACAATACTGGAAAATATATAGAATATCTGGCGCGAAAGCGTTATTTCTCTTAAATAAAAATGGATCTGGTTGCATTTAAAAAAATTTAGTCCTTGTTTAACAAAATAGGGCATTGTTTAGTAAATAACTTTATGTGTTGACAACAACCTCCTGGTCAGGGTTGGGCAGTATCGCGGATATTTGTATCTAAGATACAAGATACTTTTGTATCTTCTATTTTTTTTTAAATTTTGGAAAGTATCTTGTATCCAGTATCTAAGATACATATTATTTAAAAGTATTTGTATCTTAACCAACTTTGTATTCAAAAAGATACAGATACTTTAAAAAAAATTTATATTGGTTAATTTAAATAGTATTAAAATTTAAAATGATATTGTTTTAAGATTTAAATGAAAAATTTAATCAAAATTTAGATATTTTACGATAATTTTTGATATATGACGTTTGTCGTCATATAGCAATTTGCTAACAATTAGAACTACATATTTGAATCGTTTTATATCTGTCTATTTTAAAATTATGGAAGAAGAAAATAGAATAATATGTTTATCTTCGTCTTCAGATGATTCTTCAACCGAAAATTATAACAATAAATTTAAACTAAGCATACTTAATGGCAAATTTTTTGAAGTACTTCAAGATGATCATAATAAAGAAATTCATCGTGACTTTGGTTTTGCGAAAAAGTTATAGCAACTGTTACAGATAACGGCTCTAACTTTAAGAAAGCTTTCAAGGAGTTTGGATATTGTACGGAAGCTGTAGAGAATGACTTTGACATCAATGATGATGAATGTATAGAATTGAAATTAATACTTCAACAAAATCTTCAATTGATGAAGATGATGATTACTTTTGCCTTAAAAGTATCACATCCAATTCTAATAATTCAATAAATGATATTGAAATAGAGGTCCTAAATTATATGAAAGATGACAGGCGGAGTATAAATATGTTAAATAGTTATAAATATATAAAAGAAATATTTATTAAATATAATACAATATTACCCTGCTCAGCCCCCGTTGAAAGATTATTTAGCTTTGCTAATATGGTTAATAGACCAAATCGTCAAAGATTGAACGATAAATCATTTGAAAAATTAATAATATTAAAAAATAATGCTGATTTATTATTATTTACTAATTATATAATTATTAAATGGAATATCGCATTATCTTTTATAATAAATTTGTTATTTTCTACAATTTATTTTAAATATTTTTTTATAAATTTATATTATAGATAAGAAAATAAAGCTTTATACATTTTGATTTGACTATTTAAAGTTTTTAAAAAAAGTATCTTGTATCTTAGATACTTTTTTATAAAAAAAATACAAGTATCTTGTATCTTATTGAAATTTTTCTAAAGTATCTAGTATCTTGTATCTTAAATACAAAATTTTATAAAATATCTGTATCTGAATACAATTTTCTGAAAATTTGCCCAACCCTACTCCTGGTTTAATATCTTCAATTTTATCATAAAAATATGATTTATTTCTTCCAATTATTTGTCAGTATTGGTTAGATAAGGGAGATTTAATAAATTTAAGAAACAAAAATTTTCTTAGACAATTATAATCATTGATGGTAATTTAGTAAAGAAAAATATCTCATTTAAAAATTGGGCGGTTGTTAGGTCGCATCGCGTTTCCAAATTTAGCCAAATCTCATATTTTACTTAGCGGCTCTAGCATGAGTTATTTATCCGAAATAGTCACATAGTGAGCTTTCCGTTCCTTAAGGTGTGAAATTTTGAATAAGTTTATTTTATTCTGGTCATCATTTGATTTTATATATTCCTTTAAGGGAATTGAGGATGATTTTAGCAAAGTTATAATTTTGATTAATATATACATATAATTTTATCTATATTATTTTTTTTTGCATTGGAGAGGGGAGAGGTAGATTCTCACATTGCCCCTTCTCCCAATAATTACATATGATGAAAAATTAACTTGGTGTAAATTAAAACAACTGTAATTTTTCCTGACTCCAGAAGCAGGGTATCGAATCAAGTCTTAAAACCAAAATGAACCGTTATCATTCTGAATCAAAACCATGATGATACGTTATATATGATCTCAAGTTGAGAAACCAGGAATGTTATAAATACTTTTGAACCGGTATATTCCGTTCCAATTCTTTTAGTAAAAATTTATTATGTTGGTTATTTACTTTACATGTTACTTGTTACCATATCAAGTTTAATAAAATAGGAGACCTGCAAAAATATTATTTGCAGGGCCCGGATTTTTTTAAAAAAAAATTTTTTTTAGGCCAGGCTCGGGTATATTTTAAAAAAATATAAATACGGCCCAGCTCACTTACCCAAGGCCCCTGCAAAAATACCATTTGCACGGCCCGGATTTTTTCTAAAAAAAATTTTGAGGCCTGGCCCGGGTATATTTTAAAAAAATAAAAATACAAGAAAGAAAGAAAGAAAGACCTGGGCCAGCAGGTCTCTGAATAAAATAAATAAACTTATTTTCTTTAATTTTTGTTTGGTAGGGGGATCAATAAAATATATTTATTTCTGATTTAAAATCCAAGATGTATAAAAAACAGAACGAAAATATGAGTTTATAAACCAAAATGAACAGATCTATTGTTCAAAAATAACCTTAATGGAAATAAAACGTTAAGATAAGATCGACGCCCTATTCATAATTTAAGCGTGATTAACCAATGCCAGTAGCAATTATCATTAAAGAATTCTCACCATTCACCAGCATCATTATCATTAAAATTATTTTATGAAAAATAAAACGAATTTTTAAAATCCAAAGAATGTAATAATATTTCTTTGTAAGCCAAATTTCTGGTTAAGATGATAAGATAACCCATATCGAATATAAAAACAGGGACAAAATCTCTAAATATTTGCAGGAACAAGAAATTTTTAAGATTTTCCAGAAAATTGGTTAATAACAAAAGTACAACTAATTTACAATATTTTTTATTAAATCATTAAATGTTATAAAATATAATTGTAATTGTTCAGTAATATTTTAAAAGTTCAACGATTTTGTAACTCATTTTATTTTTTTTGATGGCTTATTAACCGGATTTAGAACCTTCGGAACCAAATCAAATTTAAAACTCTCTTAAAATTTTCAGAAACGAAAACCGCTTTTTGGGAAATATTAAGACCAGGAACTCTTCCTAGGTTCCACAAAAAACATTTATATTTATAGGACCACAAAATATAAGATTTTTGCTCTACTCAATTTCGATAAAAATTATCTAATTTTTGCTTTAATATAGTTATATATAAATAAGTCGCTTTAAAAAATTTCTACTCTAGAAAAAAATTGTGCCTGTAATAATAAATAAATTAATCAAATTTTTGGGAAAATCGATGTTTAAACACGAGAGGCAGGAGGGAAAACAAAGCACATATCAATAAAAATGCCATGGATTTTAAGTCGAATATCGAATTATTATTTGTGTCATCATCTGGGTATGCCGTCATATTAAGAAGGGTCTTGCCCATTTGGATGGCTAGAATTGAAGGTGGTGCTACGCCTGTTTATATAATAATATGGCGAAAAAATAAGGCATAAAAAAATGCTTATTTAAAATAATTGTTTTTTTTTAAAAAAAATTATAACAAAAGGAACTAAATTTTTTTGCTATAGGCTTTGCCAGTTGTATCACATATTATGAAGGGCAAAGACATTTTATCTTCTGTCCATTAGTGATGTTAAAAAGTCCGATTTTTCAAAACGGTCCGATTAAAATTTTTAGTTAAATTTCATGTAAACATCGAGATTTGGCAAATAGATGTTCAAACATTTGTGCCAGCTATGAGCAAAATCTTTAGGCTTACATAATGTTATTTTGGTTATAATCTTAATCGGATCTTTTTCAACACTATTGCCCAGTATAGAAGAGAAAACATTCTCTATTCAGAAAGTAAAATATTTAAATCTTATTCTCTTCTGAGCTTCTTATAGTTTATTTGGCCAGATAATATTAATGTTATTTTTCAGTTGACAAAAATCTACTATTAAAAATGATGATTTAATGTAGTAATGTAGAAATTACATGTATAATTGCATTATAATACATATATAGATAATATTGATATAATGTTAATATATGTATGAATATATTACAGTAATAATATGATTTGTTGTAACACATTTTCATAATGTGAAAAAACATTCTTATATAGTTAAATAACTTTCCATAATTATTGTAAAAACATTTTGATAAAATTTTTAATAATTTTTGATATAATTTTTTTTAAATAATAAGAGTTTTTAAACTTTAATGAAGATTAACGTCAAAGTTATGAATCGAATATAATTTTTTTATGTTTTAGACCCAAGTTTAAGTGGGAAAATGAGAATATAAATTTTCTAAGATTTTTAGAATAATTTTTTTAAAAATGCATTATAAATTTTTTTAAATTTAAAGTATTTTTACAATATATTAATGTTACTTTTAGTTATCTAAAGAATGGAAATCAGGATAAGAAATTTGATAATTTCTTAATAAACATAAGTGAAAGAAAATTCGAATTTAGGGTTTTCAGATAATTCTTATTTTTTTATATTTTTTTTTGGTTTTAAAATTAAATAAAATTTAACTGTTGTAGTTGCTTTTATTAACCTAAAATGACGAATACCAAATATCATCGAGATGTGCCACCAACCATTCTACCCATAACGGAAGCCCCGACACTTTAATTTAACTTTCCATAATTATTGTAAAAACTTGTTGAGAAAAATACATCCTTTTTTAAAAAAACTTTTAAAAACTTGAAAGAAAATTTTGAGAAAAACATTATTTTTAAAAACTTCGAGTAATTAACTTAAATTAAAACCTATAATAATTCTTTCTTAAATTTGAGAAAATTTTAATTTTAAACTTCAAATATTTATTTTATAATTTATAATTTTTTTTTCCATAAAAACTATATTTCCATATTTTTAAATGTCAAATTTTACTATCGCTAGTATTTTGAATCTATCTCCAGTTTCAGGTTTGTTAATATAATATTCTATTATTTACTAACCTTATATATAAAATTTTAGATACACCTAATGAAACTTCTAATTCTCTCGGGGGGTTATCTGAAATAACAAATAGATACCAAAGTTATTCACCTATCCCATCAAATTCCCTTAGATGCCTAACTGACATTACAAATCGATTCATTCTAATATTCAAGAGCAACCAAATTTTGATCCTATTCGTTTGAAGAAAAAAAATGGTAATTGGAGCGATGAAAAAATGAAATTGGCTAAAATATGGCTGAGCAAACCAATTGATGATCAGCCCAATGCAAAGACAATTGCTCATGATCTAAATTTATCCATTGGTTCGGTTTAACGTTTCAAAGGGGAAACTTTTCCTGAATATTACGACGACCCTTTATCTGATTATATAATAAAACAACGAGGGCGTAAGAAGAAATACACTACAGAACTTCAATCGCATATAGCTGAATTGTTTGGTAATAATAACGGCTATACAATCAAAAGTATTATAAAACATTTACCGCCACATCTAAGGTTGAGCGAATCAGCTATCTAAATGCATTAAATTAATGGGCTGGAGTCGAAAAAGGGTTGGGAAAGAACCCAATAGTTGAAACTCTCCAGATGTAATTTAAATTCGAAAGTAATATTGTGACAAGATGATAAATATTTTTTTTGAAAATGTATACTTCCTGGACGAGAAGGGTTTAATAACCACATTATTTCTCATTATGGGTGGGCACCTTTGAGGAAACGGCCATCTGTTAAGTTACCTTCCTCCAAGAGGAAAAATATATCAGTCCTATGCACAATAGGAATAAGTGGATTGAAAAAATTCAAAATAATAGATGGGGCTTTTACTGCAATAATCAAGGCATATCTGGATAAATTATTTGCACTTTTACCATCAAATTCATTACTTATAATGGATAATGCTTCTATACATCGAGCGAGGATAATTAGTGAGAATTATCCAAATATCATATTTTTGCCACCCTATTCGCCGCAATTAAATCAGATAGAAAATTTTTTCGGAGTAATTAAAAATCAATATAGATCAAATTCTCCCAAACCCAATAACTGAAATGAAGTTATTTCAATTGTTACGAGTATTTTAGGCAATTATTTTACATATAATTTTTCAAATTTTTATTCTCACACCATAAAGTTTATTGAAGAGGGAATTCGATGCATTCCTTTAAATGATTGAATTTGTAATTGATTTATATTGTGTAATATTTTATTTACAAAGAATAAATAAATAATAAATGGTTTTTTTTATTTTGGTGTTTCGAATTGATCATAAAAAATTCTAAACAAATAAGAATTATCTGAAAACCCTAAATTTAAGTTTTCACTCATGTTTATTTAAGAAATTATCAAATTTCTTATCCTGATTTCCATTCTTTGGATAACTAAAAGTAAAATATTGGAATAATGCTTTAAATTTAAAAAAGGTATTGTAAAAATCTTGAAAATTTTTTTTATATAATATCTTTTAAAATTCTAATTTTTCCACTTAAATTTATGTCCAAAACATAAAAAAAAACTATATTCGATTCATAACTTTGACATTAGTCTTCATTAAAGTTTAATAACTTTTATTATTAAAATTTTTTTTTGGAATTCTCATTTTTCCACTTAGACTTGTGTCCAAAATAACTATTTGATTCATAACTTTGATGTTAGTCTTCATTAAAGTTTAAAAACTTTTAAAAATTTTTTATCAAAAATCAAAATTTTTTTAAAAAATTTATATTATATCAAAATGTTTTTTACAATAATTATGGAAAGTTATTTAACTATATAAGAATGTTTTTTCACTTTATGAAAATGTGTTACAACAAATCATATTATTACTGTATATTATATTCATTAAAAGATGTTTTATAATGTTTTTATTATGTATAATATTGGGTGATTGTTTAACTGCCTAATAGTATTGCAATGTAGAATATTATAATATGGTTGTTTAGAATGTTGCATGAATTATACTATGTGATATGTCAAATTATCCCATTTATTATAATTAAATTCTAAATTAAAATATTAAAAGAAAGAAAAATATCCTACATTCATTATCAATCAATAATAAAGTTTAAGAATAAATGAATAATCAATATCTAAGATCTGTAAGCCTGAACTGTAAACCCAATTTCTACCCCCATCCCCATGAGCCAATAATGTTGAGATCTCCTTAGGGGAGTAGAGAGGGCTACTCTGTGTTGCAAGCACCCCACCCCCTCTTAAAAAAATAAAATTAAATTTTGTATTGTCACTATACACCTTCATTGATAATAATTTCTTCTTTATTGCATAAATATAATTGAGAAAATGACAACTATGAACTAATTTTAGAATAAATTCAATCAAATAAAAATATATTAAATTGTACAATGATTTATTAATATTTAAAAAATGTCTTATATGTTGTATATAAGATGATACATAAGACTAATAACTTAATAAATTAAAAATAAAAGTAAGGTCAGCTTATATCCTTGAATGAGTGGGTCTCTAAAATATATTTCCATTGGATTTTAGTTTAAAAATAAAACCTTAATTATATAACTAATTTAAAATCAACATCTACATGAATCATCATTTATAGTTATGCAACTCCAATATTTTCCAATAAATTTATTAAAATAAAGTTTTTAATTCCACTTATTTGGTTACCTAAAAATGTTCCAATGAAATAAGGTTTTAAAGGAATGTTTAAAATTGGGCACACAAGATTTATCAACCAATTAGGCAAAATGGGAGTTATCCTCAAAAATATTATATAATTTAAGATGTTAGATCTATGCTTATTGACCTAAAATAACAAATTATTTATATAAATGAATATAATTTTACCTTTGCAGATAAATCAGAAATGTGATTAGGAAAGTAATAATTTATTAACTTTTTGCCAGCAAAATTTGATAAAAAATAACATAAGGAAGCACCAATTGAAGAACACTGATAAATAAAATATAAAATAATATTCTTTAAATTTACTTTACTGTGCAAACTAAAAGCAATGCAAGTGGAAATGAGTATAAATAACCTGATAAAACATTTAAAAATAAGGATCCAGGAATAGCAAATGTTTGTAGACTAAATGATTTCATAGTTAAAATACATATTCTAAATATTTACAAAATATAAGAGAGAGCAAATACAAATAAGAGATAATAATAATAATTATTTTGATAGGCTGATAAAAGTTTGCCTAAGGATTTTGCATCATCTATACTTGTTGGTAATTTGAGAATTTTCTTTTCATTACTAAAAAAAGTATTAGAAAAACTTAACTAATTTTTAATTTACTCTAATAATGGTGGGAAATTTACATAGAGATATATAAGAATTGATAAGAAAATAATAAATATAACAGTTAATATAATTATATGTATATAATTGTAAAACAATGTTAGTGGAGTTTTTGAAATCATCACAAATTAAAATGAGTGAATGATATATCTATTCTAACCCAATATCTTACTTACTAGAACAAAACAACACTACTCAAAAGTTCCAAATATTCCTAAATTTAAGATGTTTTCATTCCAATTATATCCACCACCTTAGCGTTCTTCTGTAAATTTGCCTCTTCTATTTTCAAAGATTTTAGATTTCAGTTCTCCTAGGTTTCTTCCTAATAGTATTTTTAGTTGGTTGGTTTTTTCGACTCAGAGCCCAAGTCAAAAAAATAGGCCTAACCCTAAACCCGGGCCGAAGAATCCAACCCAACCCTATGGGACCGGCTCGCTTGGTCCTAATAAAAAATTTTCATGGATTTAAATCTTTAAAAATATATTTTTGAAACTAAAAAATATTAACTTTTATTAACGGGGAGGCAATGCTGCGGCCTCGAAGGCAATTTTTTAAGGGGCATCATTTTAGGGGGGAGGGAGGGATATGCCCCCAAACTCCACATTTTGGCCCACTTTTATCAGCTTTTTGCTGGGTCCCTTTTGTGGCTTATTCCTATTATTTACCGTTTTTATAATTTCTTATAATTTTGGTCAAGACATGTCTAGAAAAATGTGTTAAACACTTTTGGACCGATTAGGTAACACTAGTTTGATTTTCTATAATGAAGTGATTGTAAAAATATCAACAATAATATAAATCTATATTAAAATAACTCCAATTTTATTTATCATACAATGATATATATATAACTATAGATTGGCGATCATGCATAAAAAAACGCCCACACATTGAAATCAGCTGTAACGCCATTTTATAGTTCGTATCGTACCGCCTTTACTATTCTTTAGTTATAATTAGGTATTTTGTCGGTAAACTTTTCGGTAAATTTCGGATAAGCTTAAAATTTATATGCTTAAATTTCCATTAAGCTTTTTGCATGCTCAAATATCTTAAGCTTACTGCTTAATTTACAGACTTTTATAAATATCAAATTGTAGCTATTTATTATCAATTAAGCTCCATTACAGTAAAAGTATATTTATTTTATGTTTAAATATCTTATATTGCAGCTCTTTATTGCTCAATTTACAAGCTTTTATAAATATCATATTGCAGCTCTTTATTGCTCAATTAAGATAAATATCAAATTGTAGCTGTTTATTATCAATTAAGCTATATTACAGTAAAAGTATATTTATTTTATGTTTAAATATCTTATATTGCAGCTCTTTATTGCTCAATTTACAAAATTTTGTAAATATCATATTGCAACTCTTTATTGCTCAATTTACAAGCTTTTATAAATATCATATTGCAGCTCTTTATTATCAATTAGGCTAAATAACTGTAAAATTATATTTACTATATTTTTAAAAATCTTATTATATTGCAGCTCTTTATTACTCAATTTACAAGCTTTTATGAATATTACAATTAAACCATATTGCATTTAAAAAAAAGGAAGAGTAACCTTACTTTATAATTCAATAATCTATAAATCTTATACTTATCTTATTATATTGCAGCTATTTATTACTCAGTTTACAAGCTTTTATGAATACAGTAAAAAAAAAGAAGCATTACTTTAGAATTCAAAAATAAAAGGTATATTTTATTCAAAAATGGCTATATAAATTATATATAATTGTAGATCATAATGTTAATGACATTGGAATGCTTGAATAGTGCACTAAACCCTTCCTTTGTATATTTTTTTTTATCAGTTTGTATAACTTATTATTGTCGATATATTTTTTGTATAATTTATTTCAATTCAAAATTATCATCTTTCATATTGTACGTTTATATTATTGTTTCGCGCACTATTATAAAATTATTTTTTTTATTCTTGATATATATATATGTAATTAAATTCTTATAAAATACATTTTTATTATTGTCTACACAGGCATGAATAAATAAAATTATATTCGCTAATTTTCAGAAAAATTTCATAATCAATAATAATTTAATGTTTTGTGTTGTCAAATTATGCACTCGAATTAAAAGAAATATTCATTTGTAGCCATAATTATAATATATAAATATTTACATAAAAATTTTAAGAAAGGAGTTCTTAGTAAGAAAAAAAATTAACGATCCCATATTAGAAATAACAAAAAAATAGTAAATAAGATATTTGAAGGAATATTAAGTATAAATACCTACTATAAAAATTTTATTTATAGAGTTCTAATAAAAAAAATTAACGATCCCATTAATTATTAGAAATCTCAAGAAAAATTTTAGTAAATAAGATATTTGAAGGAATAATAAGTATAAATACCTACTATAAAAATTTTATTTATAGAGTTCCAATAAAAAAAAAATTAACGATCACATTAATTATTAGAAATCTCAAAAAAAATTGAGTTAATAAGATATTTGAAGGAATATTAAGTATAAATACTTACTATAAAAATTTTATTTATAGAGTTCCAATAAAAAAAAAATTAACGAACCCATCAATTATTAGAAATCTCAAAAAAATTTGAGTTAATAAGATATTTGAAGGAATAATAAGTATAAATACCTACTATAAAAATTTTATTTTTAGAGTTCCAATAAAAAAAAAATTAACAATCCCGTTAATGATTAGAAAATAAGATATTAGAAGGAATAATAAGTATAAATACCTACTATAAAAATTTTATTTATAGAGTTCCAATAAAAAAAAATTAACGATCACATTAATAATTAGAAATCTCAAAAAAAATTGAGTTAATAAGATATTTGAAGGAATATTAAGTATAAATACGTACTATAAAAATTTTATTTATAGAGTTATAATAAAAAAAAAATTAACGATCCCATTAATTATTAGAAATCTCAAATAAATTTGAGTTAATAAGATATTTGAAGGAATATTAAGTATAAATACCTACTATAAAAATTTTATTTATAGAGTTCCAATAAAAAAAAATTAACGATCCTATTAATTATTAGAAATCTCAAGAAAAATTTGAGTAAATAAGATATTTGAAGGAATAATAAGTATAAATACCTACTATAAAAATTTTATTTATAGATTTCCAATAAAAAAAAATTAACGATCCCATTAATTATTAGAATTCTCAAAAAAAATTTGAGTTAATAAAATATTTGAAGGAATATTAAGTATAAATACCTATTATAAAAATTTTATTTATAGAGTTCCAATGAAAAAAAAATTAACGATACCATTAAATATTATAAATCTAAAAAAAATTTGAGTTAATAAGATATTTGAAGGAATATTAATTATAAATACTACTATAAAAATTTTATTTATAGAGTTCCAATAAAAAAAAATTAACGATCCCATTAATTATTAGAAATTTCTAAAAAATTTGAGTTAATAAGATATTTGAAGGAATATTAAGTATAAATACCTACTATAAAAATTTTACTTATAGAGTTCCAATAAAAAAAAAATTAACGATCCCATTAATTATCTCAAGAAAAATTTAAGTAAATAAGATATTTGAAGGAATAATAAGTATAAATACCTACTATAAAAATTTTATTTATAGAGTTCCAATAAAAAAAAATTAACGATCACATTAATTATTAGAAATCTCAAAAAAAATTGAGTTAATAAGATATTTGAAGGAATATTAAGTATAAATGCCTACTATAAAAATTTTATTTATAGAGTTCCAATAAAAAAAAAATTAACGATCCCATTAATTATTAGAAATCTCAAAAAAAATTGAGTTAATAAGATATTTGAAGGAATATTAAGTATAAATACGTACTATAAAAATTTTATTTATAGAGTTCCAATAAAAAAAAAATTAACGATCCCATTAATTATTAGAAATCTCAAAAAAAATTGAGTTAATAAGATATTTGAAGGAATATTAAGTATAAATACTTACTATAAAAATTTTATTTATAGAGTTCCAATAAAAAAAAAATTAACGAACCCATCAATTATTAGAAATCTCAAAAAAATTTGAGTTAATAAGATATTTGAAGGAATAATAAGTATAAATACCTACTATAAAAATTTTATTTTTAGAGTTCCAATAAAAAAAAAATTAACAATCCCGTTAATGATTAGAAAATAAGATATTAGAAGGAATAATAAGTATAAATACCTACTATAAAAATTTTATTTATAGAGTTCCAATAAAAAAAAATTAACGATCACATTAATAATTAGAAATCTCAAAAAAAATTGAGTTAATAAGATATTTGAAGGAATATTAAGTATAAATACGTACTATAAAAATTTTATTTATAGAGTTATAATAAAAAAAAAATTAACGATCCCATTAATTATTAGAAATCTCAAATAAATTTGAGTTAATAAGATATTTGAAGGAATATTAAGTATAAATACCTACTATAAAAATTTTATTTATAGAGTTCCAATAAAAAAAAATTAACGATCCTATTAATTATTAGAAATCTCAAGAAAAATTTGAGTAAATAAGATATTTGAAGGAATAATAAGTATAAATACCTACTATAAAAATTTTATTTATAGATTTCCAATAAAAAAAAATTAACGATCCCATTAATTATTAGAATTCTCAAAAAAAATTTGAGTTAATAAAATATTTGAAGGAATATTAAGTATAAATACCTATTATAAAAATTTTATTTATAGAGTTCCAATGAAAAAAAAATTAACGATACCATTAAATATTATAAATCTAAAAAAAATTTGAGTTAATAAGATATTTGAAGGAATATTAATTATAAATACTACTATAAAAATTTTATTTATAGAGTTCCAATAAAAAAAAATTAACGATCCCATTAATTATTAGAAATTTCTAAAAAATTTGAGTTAATAAGATATTTGAAGGAATATTAAGTATAAATACCTACTATAAAAATTTTACTTATAGAGTTCCAATAAAAAAAAAATTAACGATCCCATTAATTATCTCAAGAAAAATTTAAGTAAATAAGATATTTGAAGGAATAATAAGTATAAATACCTACTATAAAAATTTTATTTATAGAGTTCCAATAAAAAAAAATTAACGATCACATTAATTATTAGAAATCTCAAAAAAAATTGAGTTAATAAGATATTTGAAGGAATATTAAGTATAAATGCCTACTATAAAAATTTTATTTATAGAGTTCCAATAAAAAAAAAATTAACGATCCCATTAATTATTAGAAATCTCAAAAAAAATTGAGTTAATAAGATATTTGAAGGAATATTAAGTATAAATACGTACTATAAAAATTTTATTTATAGAGTTCCAATAAAAAAAAAATTAACGATCCCATTAATTATTAGAAATCTCAAAAAAATTTGAGTTAATAAGATATTTGAAGGAATAATAAGTATAAATACCTACTATACAAATTTTATTTTTAGAGTTCCAATAAAAAAAAAATTAACAATCCCATTAATGATTAGAAATAACAAAAAAATTAAAATATATGACTAAATGTGATATTTATAGAAATAATAAATATCTATTACCCCTTTACCCTCAAATTGATTTTTATTTTCTACCCATCTACAAGTCTCATGAAATAATATTCAGAAAACGACATAAGTAAATGGCTACTAGTTTTACCATTCTTGGTTATTTTTTTAGAATTACAAAAAAATTAATCTATAGTTCTATTATTAAATAGATAAGTTCTCTAATGCAGAAGAAAATTGTTTTAATACCATCTAATATAAATTATTTAAAAAAATAAGTATAATATTGAATAAATTCTATTTATTATTTCATTTTAAATTAATTATATCAATAATATTAAAATATGCAATATATATAATAAATATATTAAATAAATTTTATTAATTATGTATATAATATTAATTATTATATTATAATAAAATCTTATAATCTTACAATTTAATACATTTTTTCTTTATATCTAATTTAATATTAAATATATTAAAATATAAAATTATATTATACAATTTATTTATTAATATATAAATTTTTTATAATATTATATTATATTATTAATATATATAACTAATTAATATTAAAATTATATATTTTCTTATATTTATATTAATAAATTTTTATTTATATTAAATTAATTTTATTAAATAATTTACTTTAAATAGTAAAATCTGTCTATTCTCTAAAAGTTAAATTTTTTAGAACGCCTTTATATAACAGCAATAAATGGTGTCATATAAAGTTATTTTATTTTTTTATTCAACACGCTTGTTTTTTTTTCTTTAACAAATAAATATTAAAAAAAAGTTGTTTATTATTTTTTTTTATTTTTTTTACGTATTTTTTTTATCTAATGGAAAAAATATTGTTTTATTATTTAATAAATTTTTAAAATAAAATTTTTTTTTACTTATTTTTTTTATCTGATGGAAAAAATATTGATGCTTTTATTATTTAATATATTTTTATTTAATAGGTTAAGATATAATTTAGAACTAAAAGATTTTTCTACATTAGAACAGTTTATGAGTAATTATGAGAAGAATACCTTTTCAAATTATTATATCTCCCGTTCTAAGCCTCATCATGATCCAATATATAAATATAAAACAACATACAATTGCAAAAGAGGAGGTCGGATTTTCAAATCTAGTTCAACAGGCTTAAGAGAAAAGAGATCCTTTAAACAAGGGTGCAATAGCAAAGTTATTTTTAAACTTAAACCTAATGAAAATGGATTCAGATTTGTGTTAGAAAGATTTTATATGATAATGAAATCCCAAAGATAAGTTAATATATATATCAATTTTACATTTATTAATCATATATTATAGGTCAAAATTTACCTACCATAGCTGCTTCTTCCTGTATTGCTGAAACAAGTTATTACACCAACCATTTAAAATTTTTTTTTAATTATAGATCAAATCTTAGTCAACACAGGTGATTCTTCTCCTATAGCTGAAACAAGTTATTATACCAATCATAATATTTCTCTAATGAAAGATTATAGATATTTTAGTCAACACAGGTGATTCTTCTCCTATTGCCAAAACAAGTTATTATACTAACCATTTTAAATTTTCTCTAATGAATGTTTGTAGGTCAAATTTTGGAGGTCATAAGTGATTCTTCCTGTATTCCTAGAATTTCAAGTAAATGTTTTATTTATTATAGAGCTATTATCATCAGCTCATTATTCTTCTCAAAAAGGATTAATTTCAGATAAAAATTCATTAGTTTTACAAGAATGGGATAAGAATATAATGAAAAATATTAGAATGCTCATAAAATACAAACGAGGATCAATACACAAAAGGCCTAAAAAAATGCAAAAAAAGAGTATTATTTAAAAATTATAAAATATTTCATAGTTAGCAAATTTTGAAAATGTCATTATATTATACATGTATTTTAAAAAAAGATTTTTCCCAAGCTAATTAAAATATGACTGAAACGATTAACCTACCAGCTTCCAATACAGAAAACACTCAACTATGTGGTATCATTAAAAATTAAATGTTTATTGTTTATTAAAATACATTAGCAATCAAATTATCTTCATCTCAAATTATTTCAAAAAATATTTTAGGCACTCAAGTTAAGATACCAGAGAGTAAACATTTTACTTTTCTATATTAAATATAACAAAAAATAGCAACAAACTTATATTCCCAATATCATTTTCAAAATATACCTAAAAATTTAGGCCCTATGTCAAGAACTATTCCAGATAGTATATTTTGTGTTTTAATTTTTATTAAATATAAAATACATTAGCAATCAAATTATCTTCATCTCAAATTATTTCAAAAAATATTTTAGGCACTCAAGTTAAGATACCAGAGAGTAAACATTTTACTTTTCTATATTAAATATAACAAAAAAATAGCAACAAACTTATATTCCCAATATCATTTTCAAAATATACCTAAAAATTTAGGCCCTATGTCAAGAACTATTCCAGATAGTATATTTTGTGTTTTAATTTTTATTAAATATAAAATACATTAGCAATCAAATTATCTTCATCTCAAATTATTTCAAAAAATATTTTAGGCACTCAAGTTAAGATACCAGAGAGTAAACATTTTACTTTTCTATATTAAATATAACAAAAAAATAGCAACAAACTTATATTCCCAATATCATTTTCAAAATATACCTAAAAATTTAGGCCCTCAGTCAAAAACTATTCCAGCTAGTATATTTTGTGTTAATTTTTATTATATATAAAATAAAAATAGCATTCAAATTCTCTTCATCTCAAAATATTTCAAAAAATATCTTAGGCACTCAAATTAAGCTACCAAATAGTTAACATTTCTAATAAAACAAATAGTTATTATATATTTAGAATGTTTATATTTAATTTAAAATATATAGGAAACAAATACAATCTAATAGAGCTTCCAGAAAACAATACAATCTAATAGAGCTTCCAGAAAACAATACAATCTAATAGAGCTTCCAGAAAACAATACAATCAAGATTTCAAAAACCTAATAAAAAGCAATTTATATTGTATTCTATTATTTCAAATTTTATTTCTGTATATATATTTACAATTATACTATATTTATAATACATAATTTTAATTATATATATATAGAATTATAATATATTATTGTATTCTTACAAATTTTATTTCTATATATTTCTAAAATATAGAATAAAAAATATAAAATAGATTCTTGTGTTATAAATAACAAACATTCAATATTTTTGACAAAAAAAACAATAAAAATAATTCTTTATGTTAAATTATATTGTTTAAGATATATTCATAGGAGGATTCATAGAATAGTTTTTTGTAATGCCTGATAACCATTAAAAATAATATATAAATTACACAATATAATAAATATTAAAATAAAGTAAATTTTTAGGTTTGAATGATTTAAACAAAGTATTAAACAGGTTGTGAAAATCCTATAAATAGAAATAATAGGGGTAACATAATTAGCAAAGTTAAAAAAATAATACCATATTTGGGATTTGATTAAGAAATCTGTCACCATGTCTTAATAAGCTAACAAAAATATTTTACTTTTATATATAAAATATCAAACTGAATAAATATTATTTAGTAAATTTTGATATTACATTCACCTTACATGATTAAAATAAAAAATTGTATTTATAAATCTTAGAACATTAAGCTTAGGCCATGCATCTATATAAATATGAAAAGCGTAACAAGTCTGGTGTCCCAGGATATATAGGTTGTTTTACATTATTAGCATTAATTTTTTTTAAAGTTATTAAATGAATATTATGAAGATAAATTGCATGAAGGTTAATTTATATAATGAAATATTATATTTTTAATAGTATCATAAGATTTTAATAAAAACCTAATTAATGATTAAACATATATTCAACTAAGATATGCATGTAATATATTTGAAAAATTTCAATCTGGGTTATAAATTGTGGTCCATACTATATTACTCATAAACTGTTCTAATGTAGAAAAATCTTTTAGTTCTAAATTATATCTTAATTCCTATTAAATAAAAATATATTAAATAATAAAAGCATCAATATTTTTTCCATTACATAAAAAAAATAAGTAAAAAAAAATTTTATTTAAAAAATTTATTAAATAATAAAACAATATTTTTTCCATTAGATAAAAAAATAGGTAAAAAAAAATTTATTAAAAAAAAATAATAAACAACTTTTTTTTAATATTTATTTGTTAAAGAAAAAAAAACAAGCGTGTTGAATAAAAAAATAAAATAACTTTATATGACACCATTTATTGCTGTTATATAAAGGCGTTCTTTATTTAAGGCTATTGTTACTTGCAACTATTGATGCATTTAAAAAATTATAAAAAAAGTAAAATTTTCATTTTTTAAAGAACGCATGTTGTTTTTTTTTACCATTAACAATATTTATTTATTTCAAAATAATTTTTTTTTTATTTATAAATAAATATATTTTTTTTCATAAAATAAAAATTATTTTATTAAAAATGGAAATTGTGAAATAGATACTATTGCAGGTAAAAAATATATTTTTTTAAGCCAAATATTTATTTATGGTATTAAATTATAAAAAAAGTAAAATTTTCATTTTTTAAAGAACGCATGTTGTTTTTTTTACCAATAACAATATTTATTTATTTCAAAATAATTTTTTTTTTATTTATAAATAAATATATTTTTTTTCATAAATAAAAATTATTTTATTAAAAATGGAAATTGTGAAATAGATACTATTGCAGGTAAAAAATATATTTTTTTAAGCCAAATATTTATTTATGGTATTAAATTATAAAAAAAGTAAAATTTTCATTTTTTAAAGAACGCATGTTGTTTTTTTTACCATTAACAATATTTATTTATTTCAAAATAATTTTTTTATTATTTCGAATAATAGATAACAGCAGAAGAATTCCATGAAAATGACCAAAAATACAACTCAAAACTTATCTTAATTCTTTTTAAACTATAGGCATTAAATTAAACTGGATAAATTGAGACTCTTCATAAGCAAATATTTTTATTAAGCTATAAATATGTTTTTTTCCTAATTAATTAAAATTTTCATGTTTAATCTAATTTTCACAATATATATGTCTACACTAAAAATAGATAATAGCAGAAGAATTCCATGAAAATGACCAAATAAACAACTCAAATCCTAGATAAATAGATTATATCTTAATTCTTTTTATACTATAGGCATTACAATAAACTGGATAAATTGAGACTCTTCATAAGCAAATATTTTTATTAAGCTATAAATTATAAATATGTTTTTTCCCTCATTAATTAAAGTTTTCATGTTTAATCTAATTTTCACAATATATATTTAGTCTACACTAAAAATAGATAATAGCAGAAGAATTCCATGATGACCAAAAAAACAACTCAAAACTTAGATAAATAAATTATATCTTAATTCTTTTTATACTATAAGCATTACAATAAACTGTATAAATTGAGACTCTTTTTAAGCAAAGATTTATTTCTTTTTTGTTATGTTCTATCCCCCCCTTATTTCTTTTATTTTTGTTTCTCCTTGTTTCTTTTGTTTTCCCATCTTTTATTTTGTTATGAAATTAATATATTATATCTTATTTTTATATTGCATTTGAAACTGGTTCTTACCAGTTTCATGAATGATTATATCGCGATTAAATAACAACTTTTTCTTTCCCCCTTTGTTTTAAAAATTATAAAGGTGGAAAGAAAAACACCATTAGTCATTAAATATTTTTTTTTTGTAATAGAATTTCTTTTTTTTATTGTAATTTCTCTGATTCGAATAAACTTTGAAACTTACGTTGTCCAAGTGATTCCATGACTAAATCGATAAAACCCGGCCCCCTGGAAATAGTCATTGACCATCCCGGACCCCCGATCACGGACTGTATTATTCCCCTTCAGACTGGGGGACCCATCGGTCCAAACCCAACATTTTTCATAACATTTGTATTTTAAATATGATTACACTATTTAAATATATTATTATAATAAAACAATTATAATAATTTCGAATGCAATTTGTGAAATGACAAGGTTTTAGGTAATTGTAATTGATCCTGTATAGGTAGTTCTATATTCTCTTTGGATAATTGTAGATTTTCTTTGGGTAGTTCTAGATTCTCTTTGGATAATTGTAGATTTTCTTGATTCGTGATATCCTGCATTATAGAAAGATTGATTTCATTATCTATTTCTTTATTTAAAGCTTTTTTTTGTTAAAAATAGTGTACTGCATTTTTTTCTATTTATTTTTTCAGGCATTTTTAAATTTTTAACTAATTTTAAGGAATTAGAAGATGATGGTAAACTATTAATATTCTCTTTGTTTTCCAATGTATTTATTCTTTTTTTGCTTTTAAGATATTCTAGGTTACTTACCTTTTCACATGTTTCTTTTAATTCCTGAAAGCATATAATCATCAGGTCATTTGGTAGCTCCTTAATAAAGTTGCCAATATTATTTTGAAAATATTCTTGTGTCATTTTATATATTTCTATATCTGTTAATTCACATTTATTTTTAGTATTTTTTGAAATAATTTCTATATCAATGTTATCATCCCTTTCCTCTTCATAATTTATACTATTTTCACTTAAATATGGGTATAAATTGTATTCCTTCCACCACCTTAAAGCACATAAGGAAGAGGGAGATATTGTTATCTTCCCTGTATCTGAAAATATGTTTACAAGGTAAAAGATACCTTTGCTGGAAACAACAATTACATAAATTTTCACTAACATTGAAATCTTCATAAGTTATATTAAAAGAATATTTTATTTCAAGGTTGACTCTTTTAAAAGCTTTTAGAGTCAATAATTTGGAGAATAAAAATTGTGGGGAAGATGGTGGCAGACTTGTATAATTTAAGTATTGGGTCCTTCGATTTTTTAGAACGGTGTATTGAATAATTTGTCGCATTAGAAATTTCGTATTTATTTAGCCATTCTTTTAAAATGAAGAATGACGAATATCTAACATTTACTATAAAAGGTATGTAATAATAATAAATAATATTTTTTACCTGCAAGAGTTGTATCTATCTCATAATTTCCAGTAGGGCTTGATTCGATCATAGGAGGGACTAATACCATAAATAAATATTTGGCTTAAAAAAATATATTTTTTACCTGCAATGGTATCTATTTCACAATTTCCATTTTTAATAAAATAATTTTTATTTATGAAAAAAAAAATATTTATTTATAAATAAAAAAAAAATTATTTTGAAATAAATAAATATTGTTAATGGTAAAAAAAAAACAACATGCGTTCTTTAAAAAATGAAAATTTTACTTTTTTTATAATTTTTTAAATTCAACAATAGTTGCAAGTAACAATAGCCTTTATTTAACAACAATAAATGGTGTCATATAAAGTTATTTTATTTTTTTATTCAACACGCTTGTTTTTTTTTCTTTAACAAACAATAATAAATTTTTTTACGTATTTTTTATCTAATGGAAAAAATAGTAATTTTAAAATTGATACTTATTTAATATATTTTTATTTAATAGAAATTAAGATATAATTTAGAACTAAAAGATTTTTCTACTTTAAAACAGTTTGGTAATTATGAGAAGAATACCTTATAAAATTATTATATTTTTTTCTACTTTAAAACAGTTTGTGAGTAATTATGAGAAGAATACCTTTTCAAATTATTATATTTAAAACATTTATATTCCAATTGTTAAAATTTTTTATAGATGTTGAGGAATTTAACAATATTCCCAAACAATAGGGTCAATTAATGGGATTAATTGAATGTCTTATTTAATCATGAATTAGGTTTTTATTATAATCTTTTGATACTATTAAAAATGTAATATTTCATTATATAAATTAACCTTCATGCAATTTTTTCATATAATGTTAATAAAGTAAAACAACCTATATATCCTGGTACACCAGACTTGTTATGCTTTTCATATTTATATAGATGCATGGCCTGTTCTAAGATTTATAAATACAATTTTTTATTTTAATCGTAAGGTGAATGTAATATCAAAATTTACTAAATAATATTTATTCAGTTTGATATTTTATATATAAAAGTAAAATATTTTTGTTAGCTTATTAAGACATGGTGACAGATTTCTTAATCAAAT